AACGTATCCTTGAGCGAGTTTATCTCATCATCTAAACTGTCGGTAGTGCATATTTTCCTTGCACGGTTTCCTTGCATGGTTTTCGACGGAATCGATCGTGCACCACAAATCTGCTGCTAGCAAGATCGAGTTGGACCAAATTAATTGACAGCGGTACAGGAGTGGACGTGGTCTACCTAGATTTCTCAAAGGCCTTCGATCGACTAGACCACGGAATCCTGATCTGCAAACTTCAGAGCTTCGGCATTGGTGATCCGCTCCTAGGATGGATCACAAACTTTCTTCTCCACCGGAGCTTAGAGGTAAAAGTGCGTGGGTCCCGGTCCCATCCAATCCAAGTCGAATGTGGTGTACCACAAGGATCGGTACTAGGGCCACGATTGTTTTTGATGTATATTGACGACATAGCGGCCCTCATTCTTTCCAACTGCCTACTCTATGCCGACGACATCAAGGTCTGGAGAGCGATCAATACACCAGACGACTCCGCAATACTTCAAGAGGATCTGGATAAGGTGTATGCGTGGTCAGTTCAGAACCAACTCCCATTCAACACAGAAAAATGCAGAGTATTACACTTACGTCACCAATCAGCATTTTTCTATAAACTGGGTGACCATGTGCTTCACACAACTGCTGAGGAAAAGGATTTAGGAGTCTTGATTCAGTCCGACCTTGGTTGTTCAGCCCAGGCAAAGAAAGCATCGAACGTGAGCATTTGAAATTTGGGCCTTCTCCGGCGCACATTTGGACGCTTCGATCCATCCGTTTTTCACCAACTTCTAGGTGCATACATACGACCACACGTGGAGTATGCAATACAAGTCTGGCAGCCGTGGCTGAGGAAAGACCTCTCTGATTTAGAGAAACCTCAACGACGCGCAACGAAGAACGTGAAAGATTTAGGCCAGTTACGCTACGAAGACAGACTGAGATCGCTCAGGATATTTAGTGGTCAATATCGAAGACTACGGGGAGATTTGATTTTGGCTTATCAGATTCTGACAGACCCCAATCATACCTGCCGCCACCTGCTGGAGCTCAGTAACAACAACAACCTGAGAGGCCATCATCTGAAGCTGGCAGTGCAGTACAGCCGTTTGGAATGTCGACGGAATTTCTTTTCCGTGCGTGTTTGCCAAGCCTGGAATGCTCTCCCAGAATCTGTAGTCAGTGCACCCAACCTGATCGAGTTCAAAAATCGAGTTGATAATGCCCTCACTTCATTGCACTATCTCCCATAGTACAGTCTAGTTTTGAGAGATCCAAAATCCATACTTTAAAAATAATTTTCCCCCACGCAAATTTCAACAGTGGATGTATATTTGGACGCTTCAAACTCAAACACTTTGCGCCATGCGAATTTCAAGGGGCAGTGACTCTTTTAACCAAATACTCCATGCCTCATGATTCCCTCCAAGTTATAGTGGATTTTTATTTTGACACTTCAAACTCGGTGAGTCCACAAGCTTGTAGTGACTCGTTGTTAAACGATTTTACTGAATTGGTTTCCATTGAATTTTTCACACTTCTATGATTTTCGCACTGATCACCCTACGGGATTTGTCAAGCTTTAGCTTTTATACCCGCATAAATCCATTGTTCCATTGTAAGTTGGAGATAATTTTGTCTGGGAGCATGAAGTTCAGGACAGATAATAGTTTCGACATAGTCTGCTTAGTGGAAAAGCAGTTTTTTCGTATATTAAGAATCCTCAGGCTCCAAGGATTCAATTCTGACGACGAGTAGAATGCGTTGAAACCGGTGGCTACCCAAACTCCACAAATGTGCGGCTTCTCTAAAGTGCATAAAGCAGGAATGCCCATGCGACCAATCAGCTTCATGGTTAATGCACCGTACCACGCAATTACCAAATGACTGAATCACATGCAGGAGTTCATAAGAAAATTCATGGCAAAACACACTTTGCCAAACACTTTTGAACTAATTCTTTGTTTGAAATGTCTGCATTTGACCGGGAAGCAAATGTGCACTCTTGATGTTTAGTCTCATTTCACCAACATCTCTTTGAATGAGACTGTTGATTACTGATACGAGTATATGTCAACACGAAACGTCCGACTTCGACTTCCTACGGAATTATTGAGCATACGACATAGCGGAACTGCTGCTGCTCATCTCCACTAAACCAAGCGTGTTGGATTAAGACCCCGATGACAATGCAGTGCATGTCCCACTGTCTATACAACTTTACCTGTAGCTATGGAAACAGCTGCGCCGAGTGCACAGACTGGAGTCTAAGTGTCAGAATCAATGAACACACTCCAAATTGGTTATGCAGCCGAATGGGATTTGTGACGACGGAATCAGCTGACTCGGGAACCGAGGTAACTCAGCAGTCACTAGACACTTGGTGACTACTGATCTCCGAGCCAATCCTGATGAGTCGCTCAGGGTCCTGATGCGCGATCAGCGGCACCAAATACCTAGGCTATTGGGGATAATCGTTATCGATAGCGAACGACCACTGCTGTGCAATTGGTGTGGGATTTTATAGCGAACAGGGGCGATAACCGCGTTGCCCAAATCTTGAGCCATGATTCATTACAGGAACAGCTCGGGATGTCACCTCAGGTGGTTCAATCACAGTGGGAATAGTCCAGGTGTTCTTTTGTGCGTCATGACATTGACGGATAAGCCCATAGTGTTGACAATGGGAGTCGGTTTGCACTTTTCAATCTGATCCACGCATCGATTGTTTCCAAACCTCTCTGAACTCATGACTACTCGATCGGTTCCAAGTATCTTCCAAGAATTTGAGACCACTGCTGTGCATTAAAAATGAGCTGACAGTGTCACTGAGTCTACCGTGGTAGCTCATGAGTTATTTTAAAAATCTACGGTCACCGTTTGCTTATGTTCCAATGTTGCATGTATTTGTGGTTGATAAGAATGCAGGAGATGAAGGCATCACCTCACATTCTACGTATTCTGATTATTGTTTGCAATTACATAGAGAAACGCTTGTTTAAAACACTTGTATCGTAAATTTGCCAACAACAACAAAACTACTAGATAAGCATATTAGCACCATTCGGAAAGTGAAGTATGGTATTCTTCCGCTAAACACGACACTTGGAATGACACATAGCGTTGAAGAAGTAAACAATGTTCCACGGATGCAGTATTCCTAGACCTTCCACCGAAGCGTCCATCATTGTGACATACCTACATTCATTGCAACAGTTTCAACAACTAGTAACATTACTTTTATTGCCATAACTGTGTTGAAGAAACTGCTCTCACTGTGCATCTACAGTTCCCCAGGAATCGATGACATCCGACTGAGGGCACTGGACGTAGCAGCAACAACGCTGACCATTATCGCATTTCTTCCGAACGTGCTTGGAGGAGTAAACTTTGGCTATCATGTGGAAACAAGGCTTGACCGCGCCATTTTTCAAAAGTGGCAATCGTTATGAACCCGGAAACTATCGCCCAGTGTGCCTCATCCCTGTACTCTCAAAGGTGATGGAGACAATCTTCGCTGTCTTTAGTCGACCATCTAGAAAGCTACAACATCATAGCACCGGGGCAGCACGGTTTCCGCCAACAACGTGCATGCACACCCAACCTAGTGCTTGCACTCAGTACCTGCACGGTAGTGACCGAGAAATGTAGAGGGACCGAAGTTATTTAACTCGACTTCTCCAAAACTTTCGACCGACTGGACCACCGCATTCTGATTCACAGGCTCAAAAGCTATGGAGTTGGGGATGCTGCCCTTACGTAGATCATGAGTTTCCTGCAGAATCGGTAACTGTAAGAGTTTAAAGTGCACTATGGGATCTGATTCACGTCGAATGTGGCGTTCTACAAGGATCAGTTCTGAAACTGGGTGTATTTTCCATGTTTATTGGCGAGCATACGTCTTTGATTGACTCGGGTTTCCTGTTGTTCGCTGACGATGTTAAGATGTGGCGGGCAATCGCCGACCAAGGAGATCACACTTCACTTCAGGGAGACCTGGACAGAGCGTATGAGTTGGAACTCCGAAATCTATTCCAGTATAATTCGTTCAAGTGTAAGCTGATGCACATTCGTCACCAGCCGAACATCATATCCAGGCTTGGAGACCATGTCCTTCATGCAGTCACCGAGCAGCGCCATCTCGGTATATTAATACAGGCTGATCTGAACTGCTCAGAGTAATCAGAGAAGGCATCAAAGACTGGACAAACACGTTGGCTTACTGCGGAGGGCATTCAAGCGTTTTAATACGTCTGTTTGTTCACAGTTGCTTAACACACACTTGTGGCCTCCTGTGGACTATGCAATCCAGGCCTGGCAGACTTGGAACAAACAAGACTTCGCAGCACTCGAGGATCCACAGCGAAGAGCTCCAAAACACGTCAAAGGGTTGTTTCATCTTCCATATCAACTTCGGCTCAGGAGTCTAAGATGTTACAGCGGCCTGTATCGGCGTCTGCGTGGTGACCTAATAATGCCCAGCATATTGAGAGGAACCACAACCACGTTTGTCGCCACCTAACGCAACTCAGTCACACACGAATTTGAGGGGCCATCAGCTCAAGTTGGCCAAGCAATACAGTCGGCTAAAATGTCGATGAAACTTTTACTGTGTTCGTGTGTGCCAGCCATGGAACGCCCTCCCAAATTACGCTGTTACCATCTCCACTTTATCCGTGTTTAAAATACGCCCTGACGTTGCCCTAATCCATCTTCATCACGAGATGAATCCTGTGACATCGACAGAGGATGTAATGTGACGAATGTTGCACAACCTGTACTAACCTACACAGTTGATGTTAGCTCTCTTCTGCATGTCTTCGTGTTAACAATTTGTGGTGAGTCCATCAAAACGATTTTCATTTTGTCAACTTGTTTTCTTTTCATCATGTTGTGGTACTCATTGTTACCATCCAACGGGACTTGCTATACAAACCGCTTTTCGTTACCCTACTTTACCACAATTCCATTATTTTTCGCCCACGATTTCTGCATCTTTTCTGTTAAAGAGACATACTGCCTGCGAAAAAGCGTGCATTGGACAATATCGGCAGGATGCTCGCGGTGCTCGGGCATTATAAAGAAGCCATCGCTTGGTGAGTTACTGGAAAGCACCTCAATTTGTGAGGTACCCTCAATTGAGTGATGGCAATGGTTTTCCATAGATAAAAGTAGGAGCTTGGGATTCCGCAGGTGTCGTGTATAATTTCAGACTGTGGTCTAGTGGAAGTGGGCAGTAAGTAGCTGCCTTCTAGCATCGAAGCATATTGTTGTATGGAGCTAAATTACTTTCGGATTTGGTAGTCATCTATGAAGAATTGTTTATGAGATCTATAGGAACTCCCTTCGCCGAGGCAATCATAGCATAGACAAACCAATAGCCGTATTCGGGACCACTTAAATGAAGGCCCTTGTCGGCTTCAGCGATTGTGTAGAGATGAAAGGCCTGAGTGAGACACGTCGATCATAAGCCGATGAATAGAACACAACCCACTAAACGATCAGATATTTCATGTTGCTACAATCCATCTCCCAGGTGCTTTATTTGATGATTTGTGCTCGTAGTTTGGCCGGGCGCGATTTTGGTGCTGTCCGTTTACATGTGCAGTCATTACGCACATTGAACGCGGCAGTAGAACGGATTTCGTCTAAGCAAACACTAACTTTTAATTCAACTGCTGGGTTGATTCTGACTGATCCGCACAAAGCTCAACACTCAGCATGGAGTACTGTAAACGAAAGACATCTGGGTGACAGGACTGAAATTATACAAGAGATTTGCTGAAATATTTGACCTCCATTAGGAGGTGAGAGTTGCCTGATTCCCCATTGGGTATTTGATTTTTCACATGGAGGCAGTTCTTTTATATTGCACTCAGAAATCATTCAGAAGGAACTTTCTAGCAACAAAAAATAAGCGGCTATCTCATCGTACGATAAAACTACGATAGTCTCCTTAGCCAACAAACGCGAGTAAATAATCAGCCTAAAGTCCACGATGACGAGTAGGAATAACACCAACGGAGATGCTTTTGGGTGCAAGACACTACACTTCAACGAATGCTGAAGCTATCAGTCTATTATTATTGTTTATTCTCTCTTATAAAGCTGGTCAGAACGCATGAAAACCAAGATGTATGGAGAAGAACTGGCCTGGCTTCTTTACCAACTCGCTTTGTGTCACACCATGTTGGACGACTTCAAGGAGGCTGAAAGATATTGCGTGAATTGTACCATTGTGGCAGAGTCTGTCAGTTGCATACACTGGGCGCTCAGCGGCCAGCTGTTACGAGCGACAGTTTGCGGTGAGTACAAAGAGTGCTGTAGGTTCAGTTTTGTGATTTATAATAATTAAGGTTAGTGACAGAGTGCCCTCTATACATAGACACAGAAGCGCCTAGAGAGTTCCTAGAGGCTTCGACGGAAGCGCACAAGACATACATGCAATGACAGTAAGTAAATAAGAAACCAAACAACTGTGGAAGTATGCTAGTATGCTGAGCAGTCAGTATAACAGTAGCAAACGGCTTTCCACTGGGGCGTAGATATGTGACAGTGTAATTTGAGTGACTATCAAAGTGGACAGAAAGGATACTTCAGTGTAGAATCGAGGAAGAGGGATTGCGGACAAAAATAGCTTACTCAGTCGGCAGTCCGGTTAATGACCACTGTATTTATGAAGGATTCAGCGAGGAAGGTTGGAATTAAGTGAGACTTAGTATCACCCTGGCTTGTGTGGTTGATGCATATATCCGTCATCCTTAAAGCCTTGTAGGGCTCAGTAAAACGGGAGCAAGTTAATAAGTATGAACTCGATGAGTCACGCAGTGCCTCACTCACCGATGTTGGTAAACTGGTAAGAAGTTATTTATAACAAGGGTTAAACAGCTGCACAAAGTTCATCCGCAGAGAATACAGAAAGCGCATTGTATTGAGGTACGATGTCTTCTTAGCCTCCTTGTAGTCTACCTCACTGGAACACGGTAAAGTAACAAATAAGTTCGAAACCGGTTCTGGAGTGCAGTGTTTTCCAGCGTGCAGCATCAAATATCCATATGCTTCCTCATTTACGGTCTCAGTGATCGAAATGGCCAAGGTTCCTCTCAGTTGGAATCACGGTTCACGTTGAGAATGAGAGTCGCAATCCTTTCACTCAACGAGTGCTTCAGAACAACCATCCAAAAGTTACAAGATGTTTCATTTCATATAAACCAAACAACCACTTCCGGTAGTTTGTGGGAAACTCGAATTTTTAACAACTAAGAAGCGCGAGCAGTGTTTCCAGGTTTAGGTACTTCATTCAGTGATGAAACGATGTAAACAAAGTTGTCACACAACTAGTGGGAGTACAGCTGAACGCACATCCACAGTAACAGTCGGTATGGGATGCTGATCAAAGTTTTGGAAAGTAACACATTCAACTGCTTAAAATTGCTAGTGCATTCACTTTTTCTTTTCTAGCACTATGCGCTTGTCGAGATCCATCTCAGGCTCAGATGTTGCAAACAAGCTTGGTATCGCTAGACGCTGCTCATAAACTTGCCATTAAAACAAAAAGAAGTTGTGTGGTGAATGCCGTGCTCGGTATCCTGCGCACTGTCCATGGAATGTTTCCTACGAACATGGGTAAGTATGTTACTATCAGCCTTCAGTTCCTTTTGCATCGCACTCCAAGCCAACGGTGAAAACCAGAAGACATGGCTAACCGTGTATGTTCTGCTTTAAACGATGACTATATTTGAAGTGTAGATTTGCTCGTCGAGCTGAACAGTTTACTGATGTTTCATCAGCAGTCGAGTTGACATCTTCCGGCAAATCCGGAGAAGCTCTGTTGGTATTGGCAAGCCATTTACTCACTGAATATGTTACCGCGACTGGTGGCGAAAAGCCTGCGACTAAACTGCTCAGTTCGGTGAGCAACAAATTCTCAATTAGCAATCCCAGCTACCAATATTCCGAATTATTGTAGACGTCCATATTCATAGGTCAAAGTTACTTCCCAACTTGTGCATTGCGTGCCCCAGTCGCTTGTGATTTTGCCTCAGCGGTTGTGAGCGCGTTCTTCCTTCCTGATTGGCTAGGACACATCGTTCACACAAGGATAATGGCCCGTCAGCACTTACGGGCAGTCTGAGGACATAAGTCCAGCGGCATCCTTCTGCCGCATCCATGCCCGCCTGAAGGAAACCCAAGGTGTTCTCTCCAAACTGAAACTGGCCAATCAGCACGCTGTGTTGTAACGCAAGCGTCCATGAGGCTGAGCATGCGCTCAGTGTCACACTTGTCTCTTTGCCCCCTTTGTCGGGCCTCGTGCGAAGTGCAGACTGGACTGCAAATCGCACCGGCTGACGGCAACTGTGGCGCGGAGACTCAGCCGACCTCATTATCCAAATCACACGATAACCTGACTCCGATACGACTGCGGACGGATAGGCAAACCACTACTTCTGGTCAGTGAGAGGGTAACGGGCGCTGACTTCACCAGTGTAGGGCGATGCTGGTCACAAAATCTGTCTGTTTGCACAAGGTTTAGTTCAGTCGCCGAATCGACGAAGCCTCGGAAAAATGAAGCAGACGAGAGTCTCTGTTTGATACTTACGCTGAACGATCCAAGAGGGCTTTGACGCAGGGAGCAATCGAGTATGTGGCGGACAATCGAATCGGTAAATTGCTTGGGGACCTTTGCTCTGCGATTTTCGCTGACAGCCTTCTCCCAGTACGGCCACTCTACTTGCTACCGCAAGTACAGTGAAAGAGGTAAATAGGTAAAAGTGAGCATTTTGTACATGAGGCCGCAACTTGGTAGTTTATAGGTGTCCACAAATATGTGAACAACTAGCATAGCTCGAACGAGACGATATTTCACGCCATCGTGTAAATTCCATATGGAGACTGAGACTACTGTATTTAAGAGCAAGTAGAAAACTTTCTGTACAACTCTATTGAGTTACGAAAAAGCAAACCATTTAGTTGTGAATCATCAGCAGTTGTGTCTGGTCCGTTAATCGTTTATCCTTGTTAGGTTAGGAATTTGTACTAGTGTCATTATTTTCTGGCATACAATGCCTTCTTTTGGCATTGTGTGTGCATCGTTTCACAAAAACACAGGTTCCCGAAATAATCGTCCATACGAGTTTTAAAACACTTTACAGAAGCGGCCTCTATTAATCCTTCTGGTAGTGTATACCATAAGTTTACGATTCTCCGTTCGATACAAAGCTGATGTGATACTTTGTTCATGCTGGGGACCCAGAGTTTGTAACGGTCTCCTCGGGTGTTACAGGGTTCCCGCAGGTGAAATATTGGCCGCAGTATGGGGAAGTGATTTAAGTGTAGTACTCGATGGGTCATAATAAGGTCAATTCTTACTCGGCGATAGGATAGTGTGTAGAGTCCGAGCCTATCACAACGTTTTTCATACGGGAGCTTTTGTAGACTCGGTATCATTCTAGTTGCGATATGCTGTATTTTCTCCAGCTTTTCAGTTTGCCACTGGGTTATCGGATGGTAAGCTGGGTCACCGTATTCAAGGATTGGTCTAATGAGCGAGGTGAATAGACGAGGGACGGTTACTTCTGACCATGTGGAGAAACTGCGTCTTAATGCCCAGAGCATACGAAGTCACGCACGGTTCATTTTCTCTGTATTTTCTAGTGATCTCATATCATGTGAGAGAACTCCTAAGTCTCTGATAGATGTGTTGGGATGGAGCGACTGGCCGTCCGAGGTGTTTGATCGAGTGGCTGGACATCTGGTGATACTCATGAACTCCGACTTACTTGCGTTAACAGGAAGCTGCATTTCAGTGGACCACGATGACAGTAGTTCTAAGTCATGCTGCAGGCGAGCGCAGTCGTCCTGGTTCTCAATGATCCTCCAGATTTTCAAATTACATGCAAACAGGGCATATGGGGACTGGAGCTGCTGCGGAAGATCGTTGGTATGAATAAGAAATAATACTGACCCAAGTACAGTTCCTTGAGGCATGCCACTAGTCGATGGGAACCCGTCTGTCAGGTAGTCATTGACCTGCACTCTAAACGTTCGTCTCACAATAAACTCGTGTAACCACTGAAGTAACATGCCACCGATGCCGTATGTCCTCAGTTTACGAAGGAGTACCTCGTGGTTCACTCTGTCAAACGCCTCACTAAAGTCGATATACACCACGTCAACATCCTTCCGTTCATTGAGAGCTCGTACACACTGGTGGTTTGCGTACATCAAGTTGGTGATGCAGGATCGCCCTTTCGTGAAGCCGTATTGCGCTGGCATCAATACGTCCATCGATTCGAAGAACGACAGCAGACACTTTTTCACAACCTTCTCGAGAACTCTGGATAATACCGAAGTCAAACAGATCGGTCTGTAGTTCTCTAATTTACTCGGATCCCCACCCTTGAGAAGCGCTCACTATCGAGCATTTCCAGTCGTTCGGGACAGATCCTTCAGAGAGCGATTTATTGAAAAGGTTTGTCACAGCTGGTGAGATGATAATCGATAGGGACATGAGTATTAGTGGGTGAAGTCCGTCTGGTCCGTGGGGCTTTGCACCATCGAGGTTGACGAGTAGCTGATACACTTCGACTGCATCACATTGCAGGCTGTCGAGCAAGACTTGCGCAACCTGTGCCGGTACTGAAACCGCCGCCGGTTTACTGGAATATACAACGAGGAAGTGCGTAGCCAAGGCTTCCGCACGCTCCGCGCTTGAAATAAGCGTCTTTCCGTCTAAGCTCTCTAAGACCGGTAGGTCGCCCACAGGTTTAAATTGACGTTGCAAGTAGGCAAATATTCTTCTGGGTGCAGTTGTGGCCGAGGATGCTAGCTCCTCTACGAACTGCCGGCGTCTCTTGATCTTTGCGGTGTTATATAAGTTAGGCTGTTCCTTGTACACCGTGTAATCTTCATCACAACCCGAGCTGATGTATCTATCCCAAAGTTTGCGACGTCGTCGCGCTGTCAATATTCCGTAGCAAACCAATGGGGTTTGCCAGGTCCGATTTTTGAATATTTCAGGGGAACGAACCGAGTACACAGCGAATTAAGCTTCCTGTTCATTAATGACCAACAGGCCTCAAGTGACGCATCCTGTGGTAGTGTCCAATCAGTCTGACTTGCAGCTTGGAAGAGTCCGCTGAAGTCCGCCTTCCAATAGTTGAATGTCGACTTCCGTTGCTTGTAATATGGTAACGACGGTTCTAAGCTTGCCACAATGGAGCAGTGGTCGCTGTTCGCCAGAGGTTCGATGACTCTGATCTCGTTCAGCTTCTGCTCGCAGCTCGTAAACATCAGGTCCAGACAAGATGCCGAGTGCGGAGTTACGTGCGCCGGTTGCATGACATGTTGCGTTGCCCCGATTTCAATAGTTATTTTAGCGAATTGTGCCTCAACGTTACCATGACCGCGAAGAAGTCGAACGTCTGGCCAAAATACCTTAGGTAAATTTAAATCCCCCATCAGTAAGAACTGAGGGCGGCTCATGTGCTTCAGTACATGTGGTAGCCAATCGCAACAACGGTTTAATGGGCTCCGGTAGGTAACTCTCACTATTAGTTATGCGCATCCGAGGCGGATTGTGCACCACAATTGCTCACATAAACTATTCTCGCTCCGATAGGTGCTGGTAAGTTTGCCAGATAGTGACGATTTTATGTAAAACAGGACACCAGCGTGAGTCTTTGTTTTTCTATCGCATCGGAAACAAGAGTATCCTGACAACACGATTTCTTGGGGTATGACGTCGGAGTTCAGCCAAGTCACTGCAAGTCCTAAAACGTCCGGCCGCTCCGAGACAGCGAAGTGGCAAAGTTCGACACGTTTGTTCATTAGGCTACACACGTTGGCGAATGCCACACGGCGGTCCTGGGAGGTACCGCAGGACTCGCCTGGAGGTTGAGAAACCGGTTGTTACGGGTTCGTACACCCTTGTTGATCACCCGAAAATTTACTATTAGTAAGTCAGTCTCACCTTCCTCTGTACGGCATTTGAGCTCAATGACCGCAGTCATCAAACGATCCCTGTGTTCGGGTTCCAACTCTCGGCGGACGTGAACTTTTATGCCTTTCATCCTTGACAGACGAGACAGTATGAGCTGCGGCATATTGGGATTTGCAAAGGTGATTCTCAGAGGTCGACATGCCTGGTTAGTTTCCTGGCCAAGTCGGATTACTTATTTAATCGTCACACTGTCTTCGCTCACATCCTAGAGTCTATCGATGTGCCCTTGGAGGAACTCAACATCGTGATCATAACATATCTGAGGGTTTTCATCTTTTGACTCTGCTACCTGGAAGACTATGAGATTATGACGCCTCAGTGAAACCGGTGATGAACCAGTGGGAGCAGAACAAGGGGCGCTTAACTGATTGGGCTGTTGTTTATCAGCAGATGACGTCTGAACTCGATTACGCGGGCCCTTGCGATTTTGAGTGGTCCATGGATCCTCGGTGTTCAGAAGTTCACAGACAGGCCCTGAGAAATTCACGGACCGATCAGTGAAGCGGTATTTAGTAGTTTCCGAGTCTGAGTCTTCCTTCTGTGGGGAACATTGACCCAGGGGCTCGGCCGGGGTGGAAGAAGCTGGTGGTGGTGCGAATCGCGGAGCGACAAATGTGTCTGTAAT